TCACTCCAGTGGGAGGACTTCTGTGGTATAATTGTTCTCCAATCTGTGAGTCACCCACCCAGCGGTTACGGGATTTGATTTTATTGTGATTGCGCCCCTCCTACCGTCTCATTGTGGCTTCTCCTTTGTCTTTGGATGTGGGGTATCTTTTTTGGTGAGTTCCAGTGTCTTCCTGTCAATGATTGTTGAGCCGTTGTGATTCCGGTGCCCTCGCAGAGGGAGTGAGCGCACATCCTTGTACTCTGCTATCTTGAACCAATCTCCTCAATGCATTTTTTTTTATTAACTAAAGTCCATTTTTTTATTCAGACTTCCTCAGTTTTTCCCTAATGTCCTTTTTCTGTTCCAAGATCCCAGCTAGGATCCCATGTGACATTTTGTTGTCATGTCCCCTCATGCTCCTCTTGGTTGTGACAGTTTCTCAGACTTTATGACTTTCACAGTCTGGGGAGTGCTTGTCAGGTACTCGTCAGGTAGAGTGTCCCTCAGTTTGTGTGTGTCTGGTGTTTTTTGCATGATTAGAGTGGAGTTGCGGGTTTTTCAGAGGAGGACTACAGAGGAAAGTGCCGTTTGCATGACATCATATGAAGGGGTTTGTTAAAGAAAAATTCAATGACACCTGTTAGAGATGGTCAGGCAGACTTTATTCAAAAATCATCTCGCTAGGTATGAGGGCCATCACAATGGGATTTTGCACCAGGGGAGAGGGTAGGCTCAACTCCGACTGCAGCATGGATATGTGGGTGTTTATAGACAAGGAGCAGGGTGGGGGTCTGGGGTGGGAAATGACTAAGAGGAAACATCAGGGAGATTCCGGCCAAACCGACCTAACAAGATTCTTGCTGAAGACAGGCCAGGGTGATCGGATGTCACCTGGGGGCTGGTGGAGGATGAGGAATGACCAGATAGCACGGTGGGGATGAGGGTGGTTCTCGTTAAACTGAAATGAGATTTTACAAGGAAGGGCCCAGATGGGCCTGGGGAGAAGATTCAGGAGCCTGAGTGACGTTTGATCAGGTGGAGAATCTTTGTCGGCACAGGCTCTGGACATGACCGTTGACCCTGACCACCGGCTGAGGTCATGCTGGCCACACTTCTCTCTCGTGAGATTACCGCTCCACCGCCCTCCCCAGCACAGCCTGCTCTTTGGAGGGGACTCTCTGTGCACAGCCCACAAGAGGACGAGTGGGTGCTTATGTGTCACCTCCTTGGGAGTGGAGCAAGTGCATAAGTTTTTTTGGAGTTTTTCTGCCCAGAAATTTGTCTGTTAGGCCCTTTTTATACAACACCTTATCTCCTGTCATTGTCACAGTTGTGAGGTTGATATTATCTCCCATTTTCCAGATGTGGAAACAGAGACTCAGTGAAGTTGACCTACCTCCCCAGGCTCACCCAGATTTTAAGTGGCAGGCTGGGAGCTTGAATTTGAGTGTTCTCAGAGCCAGCTCTCTTAAGTACTCAGTTCTCTGTCTGCATGGCCATTTAGTTACTCCACTGAAGCTATGTCATCAAGAATTAACTTATTCCCTGGGCCGCTTAAGCCCTTCTCTTAGGCAGGGTAAGGCTCATGGGGTCGGTGGAGGACGTTCTTTAGCTCTGTGTGGTCAGCCCGCTCGTTAAGTCCACTCTGAGGACTTCAGGAAGCAAATCCTATACCATACGGTCAAAGTTGGACTAGGCTCAAACTAGATTTCCATATGGGGCACATTCTGTTATGCAAGGAAGGCTGTGTTCTTCCTATCATCTATCTATCTTACTGAAGAAAAAGAAAAAAAGCTCCTTTTTGGTTAATTGGCATGATTTAAAGAAGAAAGGTTGGGCTTCCCTGGTGGCGCAGTGGTTGAGAGTCCACCTGCCGATGCAGGGGACACGGGTTCGTGCCCCAGTCCGGGAGGATCCCACATGCCGCGGAGCAGCTGGGCCCGTGAGCCATGGCCGCTGAGCCTGCGCGTCCGGAGCCTGTGCTCCACAACGGGAGAGGCCACAACAGTGAGAGGCCTGCGTACCGCAAAAAAAAATAATAATAATAAAATAAAAATAAATAAATAAAGAAGAAAGGTTAATATCTATTCATTCTTAGCAGCACTGGGTCCATCCTTGATTTCAGTTGAGCGAGGTTGTTTCGTGATAACAGGTATTGTACTGTCATTCTGGGAAAGCCAGTGGGGAGCTGAGAGTGATTTCACGGGTCACTGGCAGCTCGAGCCTGTAGTCAGGAGTCAGAACGAGTGGACTGCACGTTGGTTTTTCTGATCTCTACATAACATGCAGAACAGGTCTATATAATGGGCCGTTTGTTTTGTGGATTGTCAGTTTTTTCTCTCCCCGCCTGTTCAGAGTGTTTAGGATATGTCGGTGCAAAGGACATCGTGCTGAAAATACGGCGGCCATGCTCTTTCGCGTTTTTAAAGAAACAGCTCCAATTGCAATTCGTTTCACTATGACCCTGGCTAAATCTAACTGACAGGTGCTGCAAAGTGTTTAGCTGGACGACAAACCCAACTGAGATCAAAGGACTCCCCTCCCCCGCCCCTGCTCCAACAGTTTAGAGCAGTTAAGCTGCTTTGGGCACCTGACAGCCAGCATCGTCCCCTGGCGGGGGTGTGCTCTGTAAAGGAGAGCAGAAAGCAAAGTGGTGTGAATGACTCAAAAAGTGGCAGCTGCTGGTTGGAACGTGTGAGTCACAGAGCGGGAAGGTCCCACCCATTTGCTTCTGGCTTGTTAACCCCCGGACACGATCATATTAGTCAGTGCTTAAATCAGAAAGTCAGAAAGCTACATGATTTTTGCGATGAGTTCAGGAGGTGGGCTGAGGTCCATGGTGAGGGGACAGCACTGCTTCTGGAGGAGCCCACACTCTAGTTTCTGTTGCTTGTTTCATTTTTAAGTTGGAAGTTGAGGAGAAGGCTGCACTGTTGCTTGGCCAGCAGCCTGCAGTGTCTGGGTGCCATTCAAGGAGGGTAACTGGGTCCCCGCCTGCACTCTGTCTGTCTCGGTCGGCGTGCGATTGGGGGTACGGAGCTCCTGCCGTGGGAGGAGTTACTGGTGGGCGTGCACAGCACTGGCAGGACCCGGATGGAGGCCCAGGAGACGTCGCTACGGCAGGGGAGGGGTGGGGTCTCCACGCTGCTGTGCTGGGGGCCTCCGCTCCCTCGGCCTCCCAGTCTGCAGGGCAAGGGGGGCTGCATCTCGGGAGCACCTTGTGTCCCATGGCTGCCCGCCCTCCGGAGGAGGCCTCACCTCCTCTGCCATGTGTCCAGTCTCACCCATTGTGCTTCCTGATAGAAGCTGGGGACGGAGCCTCAGGGGTCCTGGCTTCTCCGTGGTGCAGAGGCCTCCCTTCGAGGAGCTGGTGGTGCCCAGTTAGCAGCAGAAGTCGCAGTGCAGTGTCCACCAGGCGTCACACCTGCAGCCCTGACAGCGGGGCTTCCGGGGGACATGTATGGGGTGGGGATGACGGCGGGATTTCCGAGCGAGTCCTCGGCGTGTAAGAATGGAGGCTGGGTCCCCAGCCCTCCATCCAGGCTCAGGTGAGAGCTTCTGCAGACTGCCCACCCTCCCGGGGTATGTTAGCCGTCAGGATTAGGGCCAGGATGGAAATGGCAACCAAGAGGCAGGCTGGCGGGTCAGGGGTCAGGGAGAAGGTAAGCAGGAGAGGAGGCCATCTCCCACCTTGGTCCTGAAATCTGAGCCTCTAGGAAGTGGCTCTCAACAGGGGTGATTTTGCCCCCATAGGGGATATTTGGCAACGTCTGGACACATTTTTGGTTGTCATACCTGTGAGGGAGGAGGGGTATGGTAGCTACTGGCATCTAGTGGGTAGAGCCCAGTGCTAATCGTCCCACACTGCACAGAACAGCCCTACAACAAAGAATAATCTGGCCCCAGGTGTCAGTAGTGCCAAGGTTGACACCCTGCTCTAAGGGACTGAAGAGTCGGGGCGGGGGAGGGTGGCGTGTCATTTCACTCGAGGACTTAATAGATGTGGCCAGTGGGCTTCGGGCAGCATGGGCATTTGACCCCAGAGCTCTTTATGTGGCACAAGAGTCGTTTGAGGATCTTTCTCTGGGTGAGCCAGGAGCATCCTGGGAACACTGCTTGTTACGTGATGTTCTCCTTATTCACCGCTATCCAAGCGTGCGTGGGCTTTTTGAAAACCCTCTGGGAGTGAGCAGAAAATCAGGCCCTTTTTTGGAAGTGCGAGACGATAAAGGGGAGAAATCTATATTTTGAAATGAATATTCTTACCTGCTTGGGTCAATGGATAAGGGTCTGGGTAGCAATACTCCCTGGGTTCCCTGCCTCTGTGTGTGTGTGTGTGTGTGTGTGTGTGTGTGAGAGAGAGAGAGAGAGAGAGAGAGAGAGCCTCTGAGCGGTGATAGGGTGGCAGTGTGCACTGGCATATCCTGTTGTTATGATGATGAGGTACAGACTTTCTCCTCCCTGAGGCTCTGGAGTTCTGGGAAATGGCTCTGAGGTTCATCTTCTGTTTTGCATCGGCGTCTCCTGCTGGGCGCCGACAGCATGCAGGGCCTCCCCACTGACCAGCCAGCGTCTGCGTCAGGCCAGCTCGGGTTTGCCCACGCCACCCCCGCAGTGTCCCTGCTCCCCACATTCCCTCCTCAACAGGTTGATGGGACAGCTGGACTTGCAAGTGGCTTGGCAGGAGGGAATAATGAACCAGAGGCAGCAACGGCATGGCCGGGGCAGGGCCCTCTGTCTTCTCGTTTCCTGGACTCCTGAGAATTATTTTTTGCGGCCTGAGAGGCAAACGCGCGCGCGCGCGCACACACACACACACACACACACACACACACACACACACACACACAC